ATCTGGTTTGGCTGCGTTTTCAATTGGCTGTCTTAAACTTCCTGGAAAATTCTTGTTCAAGGAAATGCTAGAATGAGGCAGACGGCTACATAAGCATATGCTGCAGCTGCGATGCTTTCTCAATATATGCCTTGTGCTATTCAGACCTGCATAATTTTGGCAACTTGTAATATACCTTAATATTATTTTAAACTTATGCCATTTTGTAATACGATCGTATCTATCGTCTCAATCAATGTAAATCCTGTCGCCCATAGTGCACGTTTGCTACTTTTAATATAATCTTTAATGCATTTTTCGAAATTTTACCGGCATCATTTTGTTACTGACTTTTTCTCTAATACGCATATTTCCTTTCGAGATGGCTTTGTTTAGCTTGGCTGCGATCTCTTCAGTCTCTTGATTGTGTTACCGAATAGAGGATTCCTTGAGAGAATTTTATAACAGATTAATGGACTCCTGTTTATTTTCATTGTTATCATTCATTACATTAATTTCTTTCTCTTCAAAAGAAATATTTGAGCGTACAGCTTATCTAATCAGTGGTAGAAATCAGTGCCTCTAAATTTTGCCATTCCAACAAAAGCGTCTGTTATCCCAAATAATGCAGACTTCTAGAACTTCCTCTACATTCTTTTTCCATTTCTATTTGCTGAAAGATTATTTGAGCCTTTAACTTGTTATTTTTTATGCTTATCTGAAGAAATATCCTCAAGGAAATGCATAATTAGGGGGAAATTGATAGAAGGATGATAAATCTTTAATCAACAGACAGCCTACGGACTACCGAAGATACACAAGGAAGTATATCCTCTAAGACTAATAGTCAATTACAAGCATGGAGCAATGCATAAACTAGCGAAATTCATTTGCTTAAAGCTCAAGAAAGTCAATGACAGACTCTTGAATACCGTCAAGAATTCTTATGATTTTTTCAAAGGATCCAGAAAATTGGGTTAGTGGTGTCAGGGCTGTTGGTGAGTTTCTATGTACAATCGATTTACACAAATATCTTAGGTGAGATGGCGATAAGCGCCTTAATAAAGATATTGGAGTGATGAGAGGACATCCTGGAGGCGGAATGGATACGGAAGGCGTAGTTAACACGACTAATCAACCTGACAATTATGACAACGTATTTAACATTTAATGGCATTATCTATGAGCAAATATTTGAACTACCGATCGGATCTCCACTCTCACCTCTTTTGGCAAATGTATGCATGGACAAGTTGTAAAGGGAATTCGTGAAGTCACCACTTTAACTAAGAGTGCTCATGCGATACTTGTATAGGTTATAAAGGGCAGATTTCAACTTGGATTTTATGAAAATCAGACCAGGAATGAGGATAACAACCAGAAGTGGATTTGCCTTCCCTCAACACAACTAAGCCAACAATTGCGACATTTCTTAGGAAAATGGAATATATAGGTGATAACAAAGGAGAAGAAAACATTTTTTTACTGATCTGGCAACACGACACGAGAAGAAGGATAAACTTGAGTGTTCGGGAGTTTATCGCATATAATGTAGCAAATGTGAGCAGAAGTATATCGGTGAAACAGGAAGAAAAATCGGCCTACGAATTAAGGAACATCAAAGACTCTGCAGGAACATGGATACACAAAGATTAGAAATGACGTAACGCATTGCACGAACGGGTCACGAAATCGACCAAAAGGTTCGCAGCAAATGGTGAAAATTCGAGAAAACTCACTTTCTGAGAGGCCATTAATATACTGACTGTGAAAAATCTGAAGAACAGGAGACTTGTAGATGGCTGGATGCGTTAAATTTGTGCATATTTCCTAAACAAACTAATTAGCAAGAGACTTGAAGTAGGCAAGATCAGCGAAAACTTTGCATATTGCCTGAATAAACTCGGAGAAGACCAGGCAACAGCAAGATCAGCAAAAAGAAGACGACTGGATCAAGTTAATTTCCTTAATTTTAGGAAAAGAGATCGCTAGGGGATAAGAAATGAAGAATCAGAAGCAAAGATGAGACGTCTTTAGTAAGCCTTATCAAACTATGATATTTATGGGTTTGCACACAAGAAACTAGGACATAAGAAGTGATGATATTATAGATAGAAACAGTAAAGACGAGGTGGAAACTAACGCTGTTTGGCTAACAATATACGTGTTCGATCTTAAACGTGATCCTTGAATCACGAATATTTTTAGCCAACCAGCTCTAGGTTCCACTGTTATTATCCTCTTTCTATCTATAATACCAAGTTTATTACCCACAAATATTGTGGCTCAACATTGAACCAAATCAAAACAAGATGTACCACAACATTTATAGGTTGGCACACGAGAGACTGGGTCATAGCAAATCATAAAGATGGTATAATGGATAGAAAGAGGATATAGATGGCGGGGACCGGAGTTAGTTGGCCTACTGTAGGTCTGTTCTACCAAAGACGTGGTACACTTAGCAATGAGGTGACGATGACACTTAAAAGCGTGCACCTCGAATTGGTCACTCTGACGCAGGGGACTGTGAATAACGCATCGAGTAGGACAGATGTGGTGGCAGGAGTCGAGTGAAATAGGTAAACAAGGGGCAGAGCAGACGGATTTTACTGAGTAAAAGAGAGAATGGGTAAGACTAGGAAAGATGACTTCATAATAATAAAGCAGACTGATCAACATTCCCTACACAAGAAATAAGGGGGAGTGGTGAGATGGATGGGCATGTGAAGGTTTCATGTCGCTCAAAGGAGAACACCACACTATATTAAAACAAACACAGTAAAATTGTAATAGTGAAGATCCGTGGCCAAATAGCAATCCTAGGTCTAAAGTTGTACAGACTCAAAATGTTCTTCTGCACTTTTAATGCCCGATTCTGATTGATTTAACAGTGAGACTCCATGTGGTGACTAGATCTTTTGGGTAGACGTAGGAAAGAGTTCGAATAAGTTATATTTCGAGTAGTGTTCAATGTGTTTTGAGACATAACAGCTTACTTGATCGTAAATTTTTATTGTAGTGCAAGACAGTGATACAAAAAACTACTACTGCGCACAAATCTGTGAAGACATAACTGCTGTTGTGGTCACTATAAGTTTAATGCATTCACGTCAAGCATCTTCTATTAATTTTTGCGAGCACAGTTTAACTTAGGAAATTATATTTATTATTATGGCAGAGAATATCTAATAAGGTGCGTTGGCAGCATATATGCTATGTAGTCAACGACCAAGGCTCTGAAGACCTGACGCCTATGGTTGTTACAATCGCGAAAAAAAATTCAAACGTATTTTGCCTTATCTTCTTTTGCTAAGTGTTATGGATTACTAGCATGGTCCCGCTTATGATCTAAATGTTGTACCCTTGTATAGCGAAGTATCCAAATCTATGAACTTCGCTGTAACCCGAGTAAATCCGTGGTTAAACTGGCTTTGATCTCCTCTACACGAGAGCAAATTCTTATGACTTTAACGACTAGTATTATCCTTATTTACTTGAATGCCAAATATCAAAAGATTGTATTTGCTTTACTGAGTTCAATATACTCAATGCAATCTTATTCTATTGATTTCCAAGGCAACGGTCTGACGTTGTAGATTACCACACATACTATGAAAGAGTATATTGGAAAAGTTACACTCATCAGTTTATCTCTGATAAAGCGACCAAATTGAGCAAATAAGATGAAATCACTTCTGCACACGAAATAGAGGACACAGCAACTTGGTTTTCATGTCTACTGTTTAACTTATAACTTCAAATCGCATAGCTTATAGCCTAGTTGCCTTATCATAAAAATTAAGTATATGTTCCTAAGTTGATGTAACCTTTAGCCGTTTAATAAAAACAAATTATTTTCCTTATTTTGGTCCGCCTATTTACCATGCACGACTTACCAGGACTGTGCAATAATTCAAACTTAAGAAGGAATAGACCTTTACGTAAGCTTTGTTTTATTAATTCTTTCTTTAAAATAGCATTTTTTTAATTATTGTTATTAGGATTATTTTAGTATTTGCTTACATTGAAGAGAAATACATAAAATTTTGCTTTTGTTTAGAAATGTGAAAAATTGAGCGTCGATTTGTTCAGTACCATAGATCTTTTAGATGCTTGAAATTTTGTCCGGGCTGTATGATGTAGATGAGATAAAACTAGGATTTCGAAGTTTCATAAGGCAGGATTTAATGTATTTACTTTTCCTTATTTATTGTAGCCTATATACTTTCGCTTACTTACGGTAGTTATTTATTGTAGTTTGCTTAGCGTAGTTAATTTTCATTATGATATTAATTGCTATTTTAATCATTTGTCTTCCTCTTTTCGTACCATTTTATGACTGATCCTCCTTAGGCCTATCAAAGCTTTCCTGCTTCTTGAGTATTTAGGCATCAATCATTACTGCCTATTAATGTTAGCTACTGCTTTAAATTAACCGTGTGTTTGCGCCAGCTCAATTTTTAATGGTACAGAATACTTCAATTTTTTCTATAAATTACAATATAGTGTGCATCACTTCTATGTATAATTTAACATCGTTCATTATCAATTTATTGTCACTTTCCTATTTACTTATATTTGATCTTACTTCTCTAAACGTGTAATTATTAATAAATTAATTTGCCACCCTCAAGTAAGGAATGATTTTATGTGTAACAGATTCTTATTGCCTATTTTTTGCTCTATTATATAGCACAAGCGATGATGCAGATGTTGTTGTAAAGTGCAAGGATGGATCGACTTTTATTAATCGTTATGTTATGTCATCGTCAAGCTTTTATTTGCTCCAACTATGCAAAATGTCTGAGCCATTGGTTTTAAATAACTTAGAATTAAACATATTTTTCTTGATAAAAGAATTCTTTTATGTCCGCGGTAATTCTTTGACTGTTTTAATTATCCTAAAGAGCTTTGCCTCACTGAAAATAACATGTTTAATGTTGTGCCTACTGCAATATTACTGGGCCTGAATGCAATTCTAGATTTCTTTAATGACTTCTTAATCATAAGCACCAATGAAGAAAATGCTATAATCAGGCTCAACCTTTGTTGTCAACACAATTTTCGAGCTGGGAGGCAATATCTGCTGTCCTGGATTGCCCAGAATTTCGGGTGTGTACATTTCCCAGAATAATACAATTTTAAGATGTGTGATTTACTTTATAGTTCTAGTATATTTGT